TATGTACATGGATTCTCTGTGCATGTGTTGCCCTGGGCTGCCCTCAGCCTTGCCCTTTCTGAGATGGCACTCCGTTCTTCCTGGCTACCCTGCCACTGGCTGAGGGGCGAATCCCTCATTGCCTCCAGCAGCTGCTCTTCTGCCAGTCAGAGCTACCTATCCCTCTCACTCTGCTTCCCCAATTAGCAGCAAGGCTGAGCCAGCTCAGAGCAGAGGCAGGATCACCCAAGGGGCTACCCCTGGTGGCTGGGAGGTCAGGGAGCAGCTTCCTTCAGCCCTCTTGATCTCATCCCTTTCTTTTCTGCTCAGTGTCCCACCTCTAAATGTCCTCCCACCCACATCTGGATCTTGAGGAGTTGGGTAAAACATATTGCACTCTGGTTCTTTGGCCAGGCAGGGACTCCGTCAGAGTTTGTCCGGTTGTGGGGTCTTTCCAGGATACAGGGGAGGCTGGTTTGCAAAGCAGCTGCATGCCAGAGCTGTTTTAAGCTGGTGAACCAATCCCCGGCTCCACTTTGATAGTAGGTCCCTTTGGCACAGGTCAGGCTGCCTACAAAATTGTGGCACAAGTGAGGACAAGGAACCACAGCTGGCAAAGCGGCAGAACAAGGTAGTACTCGTGCCCAGAAGAGGCACCTGGTTGGCAAGCACTTTTGTGCCATGGGAGAAAAACAATGGGTTGGTACAGAGCTGAGCTATCTGGGCATATCTGAGCTGCTACACATTTTGCTCCTCACATAAAGATTTGCTTCTGCATGTTAGTAGAATTCCTGAATGGACTTAGCAGCTCATTCTTAGTAGAGGTTCTGAAGGCATGTCCAAAAGTCACCTCCATGCCTTCAGGGCCCGAAAGAGTCTTCTGCAGAATGGTGTCTTCAGAATGGGGGAAGGGTGGCATCATGTGCGCTATTTGAAGGATCTATGTTGGGAAGAAGAGGTCTGAATCTCTCTTGAGGCTAAATGGGAGAGATGAACCTGCAGAAGGTGGTCTTCCATTTATTTGCTAGAGGCTCATTGGGGTCATTCGGCTTACTTGATGCAACTTTAGAGACTATATGAGCCCATATAAGGAAATCAGGAGAGAGATGATCATTACTCCCAAGTTCGTGCCCTGCCATCGTTGTGCTTCTAGCAGGAAGAAGACATTGAGTGGGTGGGTGGCAGAAGTGGTCGCAGAAGAAGAAGCACCAATATCACAAGACCCATTTTTGCTAGATTTCCCTTATTTGGAAGACAAGAGATGGTTTAATGCTCTTGGAACCCAAAATGTTTCTGAGAACAGAGAAGGCATTCAGGAGAACAGAGGACATTCTTCAGATTTTTCAGGGAAAAATTCCGCCCAGAATTTGTCCTATTTGATCAGTTTAGAGTGTTGGCTTTGAAGAACAGTTCAAACAGGGTCAGGGCAGCCCAGGACATAAACTATTTTGGCTTGGGAGTGTATCTCTAAGGATCAGATAATATCGGATTTTAAGTTCTAATTTGGGTGGGTGGGGATTCCGGGAGTTGAAATCTGCTCCTCTTAAAGTTGCCAAGGTTGAGAAATGCTGCCCTACCTCAGGAGACTAATAAACCAGGAGCCAAAATAGATGCCACTTCCCAGCTGCTGTAAATAGCAACCCTTTGAAGCCAACAAGCAGGAAGTAAGGCGTTGCGTTGTGGGAAAAGAGACTCGAGACCCAGTTGACTTTTTCCTTTTTATTTTCTTTCTAATAATCGCATGCGGAGAAACCGCGGCAGCCTTTTTTATAGCCGGCTGCTCGCGGCTCGTGGCCAATGACGGCTCTTCAAATCTCCCGCCACCAAGGACCAACCTATCATAGGTAAGTATGCAAACATATAACATAAGGTATGAATAGATTAGAGCAAAGGCTAGGAGGGGAGCTGGGCATTTAGGAAACAGAATTGGAATTCTGAAATGAAAGGGAAGAGAGGTTGTCCCAAAGGAGTGTTGGACTCTGGAACTGAACTGAAGCCCCAATGAAACAGGTTCTTGGCAAGAGAAAGAGCTTAAAGGGGGAAATAAGAGAATGAGTGCATGGTGTCTTTCATGGCGTGTGTATGTGTGTCCACCTCTCTGTGTCACTCTCTGCAAAGGAGAGAAAGGAAGATGGCTGGAGATAACTTCAAAAAGCACGAGGCTGGACTGCATTGTAAAATTATAATGCTACTTTCCAGAGCAGGAATTAGGAGGAAAAACAAAAGACAGAAGCTTTTTCTTGAAGATAAAACCTTCAGGCCCCACCAAGCGCCCTTCCACCTCCTCCTCTGTCTCACAGAGGAGCAACACAACTGCCAGAAAAGCTAACACAGTCCTAGGCGGCACCAAGAGAAGCATAGCTTCAAGACAACAAGAAGTGAAAGTACCGCTTTATACCACACTGGTAAGAGCACACTTGGGATTCTGCACCCAGCTTTGATCACAATTCAAAAAAGATGTGGAGGCTCTGGGAAGTGTGTAGAGTAGAGCAACAAAGGTGATAAAGGGCGTGGAGGCTAAATCGTATGATGAACGGTGGAGGGAACTAGGCATGTCTAGCCCAGAGGTCTCCAAACTTGGCAATTGTAAGACTTGTGGACTTCACTTCCCAGAATTCTCCAGAATTTTCATAGCTGGCTGGAGAATTCTGGGAGTTGAAGTCCACAAGTCTTACAGTTGCCAAGTTTGGAGACCTCTGGGCTAGCCTATTGAACAGAAGGATTAGGGATGATAGCTGACTTCCAATACTGAAGGCAGAATACAGAATAATAAAATCAGAAGGGACCTTGGAGGTCTTCTAGTCCAACCCCCTGCTCAAGCAGGAGATCCCACACATTTTCAGAAAAATGGCTGTCCAATCTCTTCCAGAAAACCTTCAGTGATGGAGCACCCACAATTTCTAGAAGCAAACCGTTCCACTGATCAATTATTTTCACTGTCATGAAATTTCTCCTTAGTTCTAGGTTGGTTCTCTCCTTGATCAGTTTCTATCCATTGCTTCTTGCCCAGATTTCTGGTGCTTTGAAGAATTGGTTGACCCCACTCCGCTCTGTGACAGCCCCTCAAACATTGGAAGACTCTTATCATGTCACCCTTAGTCCTTCTCTCCATTACAGACACACCCAATTCCTGCAATCCTTCTTCATATGTTTCAGCCTCCAGTCCCCTAATCATCTTGGCTGCTCTTCTCTGCACTCTTTCTAAAAACCTCAACAACTTTTTTGTATTGTGGTGAACAAAAGTGGTTGTGGTATCCCAAGCGTGGTCTTGCCAAACTACTACTGCAAGTGGTACTTGAGGGGTTGTCACAAAGAGGGGACTGACTTATTCTCTAGGGCACCAGAGGTCAGGACAAGAAGTAATGGGTGGAAGCTTGTCAAAGAGACATACAATCTAGATATAAGGAGAAATTTCTGACGGTGAGAACAATCAGCCAATGGAATAGCTTGCCTTCTTGGGTTATGAGTGCTCCACCACTGGAGGTTTTCAAAAATAAACTGGCCGGCCATTTGACTGGGATGGTATAGGACTCATGCCTTGAGCAGGTGGTGGGACTAGAAGATCTTTGAGGTCCCTTCCAGTTTTATGATTCTGGGCCAGAGGTAGGGCAGTAAGAAAGTGGAGGTGAGGCCTCATAGTTTGGCTATCTGGCCCTGAAGGCACTCTTCTCTGCCCTGCCTCTCCTGTTTCTCTGGCTCTTCCACACTAAAATCCTTTCCCTCTTCCTTTCCCTCTTCCTTTCCCGCTTCCTTTCTTTGCCCCAGGGGGAAGGGGGGCTTCTTGTGCCTCTTTTCCAAGGGAGAAAATTTGATTATGTAAAATGGGAGAGGTCAGATTCTTGCTTAAATCAGGAAATGGGCAAAATGCTTGTGCTGTGAGATACAACAGTGTGTTTTGTTGAGGAATGTGTATGTAAGGGAAATCAGGAGGTGGAGCCAGCAAGGACAAAGGTATAATAATGCTCACATCAGGAAAGGAGAAACCAGCAGTTGGTAAAAGTAGTGTTGTGATGATGGAAGAGTCTTGTCTACCAGAAATATGCTTCCTTTTCAAAGGAGAACATCTTGTTTTGTTAAGATTAGGTCAGGGGAGGTCCTGGCTTCAAATGATTGGCAAGATACTCACGCTGCAACGTGCAAAGGTGAACTTTGTTGAGAAAGCAATCTGTAAGGGAAATCAGGAGGTGGAGCCAGCAAGGACAAAGGTATAACAATGCTCACATCAGGAAAGGAGAAAACAGGAGTTGGTAAAAGTAGTTTTGTGATGATGGAAGAGTCTTGTACAGGGAGAGATTTCTACACTCAGCATTTCGATCCCAGAGACCATCTGGAAAAGTACTACAAAATAAGCCTTGTGGATGATGAAATTGGTCAGTTTGTAATCTTCTTCCTGAAAGGGGCCCACAGGGCCTTCACCCTAGGTAAGTGTTGACTTTCCCAGCTTTAACCTCAAGGTGAGGGACGCTTGTTGATCTGAGATGGTCAGGAGGAGCCAAGAGGCAGATCTCAAAGTCACGCTTCCGTCTTCGTAATTCTGCGGATTGTAACCTGCCCCACTTAGACGTCCTCTTCAGGCTACAAACAGCCAAGGAATGAAAGTAGCTTACAAAAGGCAGATGCCAAAATAGTCACAAACATCCCTTCCAACCCTGTGATTCTATGTTCTATTACTTGAACTTTTCTGCAGATTGATCTAGACATGAAACCCAAGGAAGAAGTTCCCCCAATCTCTTTCACATTTATTTCTTCTTGACATAGGAGAGAAAAGGTGGGTTGGGAACAGGTTCATGGGAATGCTAAGAAGGAATTGCTAGGTGGTAAGGTGGTCTACAGGATGGTCTTTGGAGGGTCTCTGGTTCTTCTGAGGCAGTGTAGATGGGGAAACTATACAGGGCCCTGTAGCAGATACAAAGGACCCAAAGCAAACTCAGTTTGAAAAACTCTGGTTGGCTTGATGGGCTCCAGATGGCATCAAGGGAGACACCCTCATCGACATTGGCAGTGGCGCATCCATCTACCAGTTCCTCTCCGCCTGCGAGTCCTTCCGGGAGATCATAGCCACCGATTACGCTGACCAGAACCGGGAGGAGATGCAGCGATGGCTGAGGAAGGAGCCGGGGGCTTTCGACTGGACCCCCATTGTGAAATACGTCTGTGAGCTGGAAGGAGACAGGTAGGTCGAGGAAGAATGGAGCTTTTCCTTTGAAAGTCTTTAAGGCTATAAGATTAATTTAGATTCAACTACAGAAGGCAACCAGGTCCCTTTCTTTCAACTTTGGCTAATCTGTCCATGGATGAAAATGCAGCAGAAGAGATTTTGCAATCAGGAGCTTTACAGGAGAGTAATTGTGCAGACCAGAAGAGTCCACATTGAAGGAGGAAAGGGGACTCACTCTCTTTCAGAAAGCTTTGCTAGCTGCTGCTGAGTTAGATGTGCCCATTGTGCTTGCAAAGCAAAGCGGCAAGAAATCCAGTTTCTTCTGAGCTGATGGGAGGGGCTGGACCAGTTGTTCCAGACTCGGGTCTGTTTCCATTCTTCTGCAGGGCTTCAGAAGGATCTGCAGGGTCATCTCCTCCTCCTCAGTAGTCCATGTCTTCTTTGGGCCTCCCCTTCCCAAGCTCTCTCTCCTGGTGCGACCTGTATCTTAGTAGGGTTTCCATCTCTGTTTCTTCTTTTGTTGGACTCAGAAAGATGATTACTCTGAGAGAGGAAGTCCACACATTTGAGAGTTGCCAAGGTTGAGAGACACTGTTGTAGACCTTCCAGGTCCCAGGGTGATATTTGAATCCATGCAGAGAAGGGCTTTCCTGTTCTTGAAGGACAGCAGACCTGGGAGACCTGACCTATCTCCATCCATAAAAAGAAGGGCAACTCCAGAGTGACCAAGGTTTGGAGGTAGGCGGGTCATATTCTTCCTGTCTTTATCCACATGGAAAAATGGCCAGAGAAGGAAGAGAAAGTCCGAAGAGCCGTCAAGCGGTACCTGAAATGCGATGTGACCCAACCCAACCCTTCGGCCCCGCTGGTTCTTCCTCCTGCAGATTGCCTGCTCTCCTGTTTGTGCTTCGATGTGGCTTGCAAGGACATCCCCACCTACCAATCGGCATTCAGGAACATCAGTTCCCTCCTGAAACCGGGCGGGCACCTCCTGTTGAATTCATCCCTTGAAGCGCACTACTACATGGTGGGCCAACACAAGTTTTCTGTCCTCTACCTGGAGAAGGAGGTGATCGAAGAGGCAGTGAGACAGGCTGGCTTTGTCATTAAATGGATTGAAGAGATCAGAATCAACTGCCCTCCATCCGAAGCAGATGCAAAAGGGCGGTGCATCCTTCTTGCCCAGAAATGCAGTCCGTGAAATTTAGGCAGCCGTTGATGTAACACCCAGAGGCTTCCCCAAACATGGTTAGGATTTTGTTATACAAGTTAGGGAAAGCACACATCACATCTCTTCTGTGATCCTTTGCTAGGAGGTCCATTAGAAAATGGTTTTGTTTGTAATAAAATATTTTGTATCTCTCTCTCTGTGTGTGTGCTGGTTTCTGCTTTCCTCGATGTGTACAGTTGATCGCCTTGTTGGAAGAATTTTCCTTCTGGGTTCAGTTCCAAGTGGGGGAAAAGGCTCTGCAATTATAGAAGTTGGTTGGAAAGAAGGTTTATTGATGAAGAGGATCACACGCCTTGGAAATTCTTGGCGAAGACAAAAAGGGGAAGAGATGCTGAGAGTGCCTGGGTTTTTATTTTATTTATTTATTTATTTATTTTGTCAAGTGATTGTAAGATAACAGGGATAAGTATAAACATAGTTATGATTACATGAAATGGACACATGGTAAGAAAACTAAAAAGAAATAATAGGACAGGGACGGTAGGCACGTTGGTGTGCTTATGCACGTCCCCTACACACCTCTTAAGAAAGGGGTAAGGTCAATAGTAGACAGTCTAAGGTTAAAGTTTTTGGGGTTTGGGGAAAAAAATACAGAGTCAGGTAGAGGATTCCAGACATTGACCACTCTGTTGCTGAAGTCGTATTTCCTGCCATCAAGTTTGGTGCGGTTTATCTTGAGTTTGGATGTATTGTGTTTTGCCCTCTGTGGGCGTTGAACTTCCTGGGCGACAGGAAGAATACCCTAAAAAAATAAAATCATTTTCAGACGGTGCTGCCTTTTTTAATGTAAAATCCTCCCTTCTCAATCCCAGCTGGGACTCCCGCAGAGAGGGCGGGGACACGCATTCCAATCGGGCTTCCTCCGCCGCGCGCTGCCAGTCTGACCTTTTTGACTCTCGTCGCTCGCCTTCCCTCTCCGGCTGTCCGGAAACCGAGAGGTCGTTCTGCGCCCGCGCACTTCGCGCGTTCCAGGAGGGGCGGCGAGGTTCCGCTCTTCTTCTTCTTCTTCCTCTTAGCGCGCATGCGCCCCGGAGGAGCCGAGGGCCGGCTGAGGCGATGGGGGCGGCGGAGGCGGACCGGACGCTCTTCGTGGGCAACCTCGACCCGCGCGTGACCGAGGAGCTGGTCTTCGAGCTCTTCCACCAGGTACGGAGGCCGGAGGGGGGGGGGGATCGCCGGAGGTCGGAGG